CTATGTGAGTTAAACATGAGACTTCCTCTAACCAACTAAAGACAAATATCGCTAAATTGAGACTAGTTGGTAATTAACTAGGTTTGATTTAGATTCTCTACACATAAATAAAATATGCCAAATTTAGAGTTAATTGTAACAATAGTACAAAAATGATTACTCGATTCTCACTTTAGTCTATTGTCCATGATTTTTTTTTTTGTTTCAAATGTGTGACTTTCATCCTTGCTATCACGTTTGTTTAATTTCTATCTATTTTTATCTTCTTTTATTTATTTATTTATTTTTTTGAGAGAATAATAATAGGATTTTATTGATAGGAAATGTAACTAGTAAAAAAAACGAACTATGTTGTCGGGAATTAAGCGAGTTTAAATATAACATATAAATACACCTTTTACTCTCAAAAGTTCATCATGTGATCAAAATAGGTGAAAAATTAAATGAAAGTAAGGCACTTAAACAAATTCATGGACGGCATATATATATATATATATATAAACCCTTAAATAAAGAACTATGAAATGCTTAACTCCTAAACTTTATCATCGCTTATATTCAAGCACAATATCTACGTGAAAAACGCAATATGAAGACTCTTATTCCAGAAATATATACGGATCGGAAGTCGTTGCAATTGCATAATTGTTCATTATTTCAAGTACAAAATTTTGGGAATTTGTATAACTAAAAAAATTATACATAAATTCAGTTTATAATGTTGCTGTCGAACTAATCCCAAACTACGTTTACTAGCTTTTTATTAAGGTAAAATATCATTTCGGCATTTGGTCACTAAAGAAGATGCACTATAGTTGTTTTGTACTTTTTTCTACATCAATAATCAATTATTATTTTATAAAATAAAAAATATATAGCATCATTAGATGTTTTACTTCTCTCCCTTTGGAGCCAACCCTTATCTTAATGCATCGACATCAGAAACTTTAGGAAGAAAAAAGGCTAACCAAACTTGTTGTCGTAGATCAATCACAAAACTATCAATTTCATTGCCGACTACTCTAGTTCATGTCGGATTTACTTTCAACCCAATAAATGATATCAACAAAAAGTATTTGACTCATCAAGATTAGATTAATTAATTCCTCTTTCTTTATCCAAATCTCTCATTAAGCACTAAACCCAATTTGGGTGCAGCTGGTTCAAGTTCAAGCTAGCTTCTACTTTGACCACCCCCCTACATATACCTTTCCCAAGCAAACTTTTTGACCTTTTGAAAATCAAAACACCAATTATGCTCCAGTTTTGGTCAACCAGTCAGCCCTTTGGTTTGTCTTTACCTCACTTCCCCCCCGCACGCTTGGGTAGGCACACATTGCCATCATCCCGTCACCATTATTTACTTGATAATGCAATATCAAGCGTCATCTGTATCCCTTTGGTTTCTCTGTGTTTTGTTGTTTCTTTCCCAAATAGGATAAGTCTTGTATGCATACAATTGTTCTCAAGCTGTCATCCATATTGTATATTTCACCACTTGTAGTTCATTATCTATGAATATACTATTTCAAAGTGCCAATATTTAGACATGCTAACGCACATATAATACATTTTTATCTTTCTATTACAATAAAAGTATTAGAATCATATTCTTATATTTCTGAGTAGTAGAAATGATGACGTCACTTTTAGGGTTGTAAATATTATGGAGTAATGAGAGATGAAGACTTAGAAATGCATTTGTGTATATTCTTTGTGTTTGTAACACCACGTCATATGGTAAGTACGAGTTCACTCAAAACGATAATCTGAATATGTATGTGTTATAATTTGATGAAGACTTAGAAATGCATTAGTCGCTCGCTCTAGTTTCATTTTAAAAAAAAGGGTGTGAGAAAGAAGGCTCTCAAAGAAATTAATTGGAATATGTTACTGTCCATACTGCCTCAGTGTTCCAACAAAGAGCGTTCATCAATTCAAAAGTCCAAAACAAAAAAATGGTTTGGCACATTTCGTTTTCATCACTTTTTAAGCATATATGGGAAGCAATGGACTTGATCATTTTGCTTGCTTTTGAAACAGTAAACCCCAATTCTTCCTGGCATTGTTTTATTTTTGTGGAAATTAAAGAGATTTTAGGTACCTTGCATAAAAGAAAGAAACCCTTTGCGCCTAATGTTACTGCGGTTCTACGTTTGTGACACAGTGCCAGTGCGGAATTGTAACACAATCCCACTTATCTTTGCAACCCAAACACAAAGGAATCAAATTTTCCTACTGCTATTAATAGGAGTGTCTCTCATCATATGTTATTCCAACCTGAGGCTTTCTATTGCCACATTTTCTTTTGTTGAAGTGTATCCAATCTAATAATTAATCACAAAATACACTGTATACATAACAAAGATTATTTTAAGAATAAACTGTTGTTCTAGCCCTTTTTCCAACAAAAAAACACTCCTAGCGTCATTTTCACTTTGAGGAGAGAGGAGGCCAATATTCTTCCTCACCTCTCCCTTTCTCTCTTCCTTCCTTCTCTCTTCCCTCATTTTCATTGACAGAAGGTTTTCCCTATTTGTCTTGGTTTGGTTTTGCTTTTCCTCCACCCATCACAGGCTGGCGTCAAATCTCCACTATCATCCTTTTTGTAGTTTCTTTATTTTTAGAATAAGTTACAGAGACTCTTTGAGCTTTATGTATAGTTTTTACCTCTGCTTTGTAGAAGCTTTTCACATATCCTTTTGTGATAGTTTTCCACATCTTTTTTTTAAGAGTTTTATTTGTATTGTTATGGCTTGGTTTTTTTAAGCTATATCTCTTTTTGATTGTTGAGTTTGCAATCTTAGTTGGGATGCCTATGCCAAAATTTCTTCCGTCCTGCATGATCATTAGTAGAAGCACACTAAATTGTCTTAATTAGATTTTTCCATTATTGTGCGGGTTGCCCTTTTCACAACAAAGACCGTTGCTGCTATGGAGGAGCTCACTTGGGTAAGAAAGATTCACCAAAATCTGATAACTTCGATATTACTATTTACTTGGCATTGTTATCCAACTTTTTAATGTCTGTACTGTTGCAAGACTATGGCTTTGACTTTGATGACCATGATCATCCTGTGAAGGCTTTCCCAGTGTCTCTGTGGAAGCCCATTCTGTTGTGGCCGCAACCTTTAAAGTACTTCAAGCTTAATTTATTCTTATAGTTCTAGCATGTTTAAAATACTACAATGAAATGGAAATCATGTCATCTTGTAGTTTTGTAATCTCACTGGATTCCTTCTATATCAGTATCTGTTTGATTATGAAAGGAATCCAGTGAGAATGTTAATGCCTTCAAGGCTCCATTCGTTTTTGAGATAATAGAATGTTTGACATAACATCTGCTGGAAAAGCTTTCCTGAAATGTTTATTTTCTTTGCTCTCTTTAGAGAAAAACGTATGTGAAGTCTGTCATGTACCTTCCTCTCTATCTCTCTTGAGAAATTTCACATTTACGTTCAATATGATATGCATAACATACAAAATTATAATTCAAATTCATTGGAGGATGAAAATGTCTAATGTAGTTTCTTTCAATACTCTCATCAACTCAAGCTTTTGGCAAATACGGCTGATAGTTTTTACAGTCCTCACCTGAGATGGAGCCACACTTCGGCTGGAAGTGCCCATCCCCCCTAACTGCAAAATTTCATAAAAAAAATTTATATTATGCATTTGTAATTGTTGGAAAATTTTGAAAAATCTATTTTATTGGTCATCAAGTAATAAATATGTGTTGTTGACCACAAGAGGAAATGGAAGCTAGTCCTGCCACTCTTCTTCACAAAAATCTGTGCGTCTTCCATAAATAGTATGTTAAACATAATTTTTTTTTCTTTCAAGAAAGATAACCGCTTGAAGTCAAGTAATTATCCCGCATTCTACTCGTATCTGTTTCTTCTAATTATTATTTTTTAATACAAGTAATATTCTAATCTACACTAAATTAATCTACTTTATGGGGAGGTGAACTCGTACTTGGATGCAAATGGTGGGGCTCATTTCTGTCATGACAAAAAAAAAAAAAAAAAAAAAAAAAAAAAAAAAAAAAAAGGCTTATACAGATTACAGACACATTTTCCCCGCGGGTAAGGGTCTTCGTGGGGATTCGGACCCTAATGGGTCAGGTATGAAGGATAAAAAAAGGGGTATAGGGATGGGTATGGAGAATTTTTTGGGTATGGTATTCAGGGAGGGGCGGTGATGGTATTTTAAACCCCAACCCTTTCCCATTTAGAATATATATAGATATATTATAGTATATATAAATATGATATTAGTGTGTTTGGATGAGGAAATTTAAAAGTACAAAGGATTTCATAAATGACGAAATTTAAAATGACGGAAATTAATGTTCTAGAATTTGTAAAGTTTATTGTTTGGATGATGGATTTTAAACACGGAATTTAACCTTTATTTGTAAAGTTATCTTTTTTTTTAAACTCAATTTCTCTTGGGATTTTAGAAATGACAATTTTTAGATAGAATTTAAAGTTGGGATTTATGATCTCCAAATTCTATGTTTTTTCCTATGCGGAATTTCTAAATTTCTATGTTTTTTTTTAATCCAAACATGGGAATTGGTTCATGTCAATTTAGAAATTCTAACTTTTGTCAAAATCCCAAGTTTATTTCCCTAATCCAAACGCAACATTAAAGTGATTGTGCCAACTAAACTTTATATTTCCTATTATTATATTATATATTTATATAACTTATACGAATCTTAAGCTGCTTATATATTTAGTTAAATTCTAGTCATTATGTAACTATTCTTATATTGTCTTATATGTATATTATATATATATATATATATATATATTCATGATCTTGTCCTAATCCAATTTTTTTCTTTCAACAAAGTAGTTTCATAATGGTTTTTTCTTCCATAATGGAGTGGGTCAGGGAACCCATTCCCCAACGAAGGTGGGAATGAAGAATCCCCGATATGAATATTGTGAGTATGAAGACGGGAGATGGGGGAAAAAAGTTTAATAGGGATGGGGATGAAAGTAGCATACCCACCCCCATTTCAACCCATTGGCATCCCTAATACAGTTCTCGAATTAATAGTGAAGCATCAGTAATAATTTGTTTGGTTTTACTGCTTATCCTGGTAAAAATTAGAATAGGCCTCTGCCAAACCAAAAATAAAAAAGAATGCTGGGGCCCCCCTCTAGAGACTACTCGGTACTAAGCGAGGCCACACTCTTTTAAAAGGCCCAGGACTTACTCGGTATTTTCATCAAAGAATTTGGATTGAGTTGTAACGTAGCTGAAAACGCTACGCGGCCCTCTATATGGCCAAGGCCCAGCAGCAGCCGAAATGTCGAAGCGAGGTCGCTGGCCTCCTTAGCTCTCTTGCTTTGTTTCTTGTTTGCCAATGTTTATTCTCCAGCCCAAGCTTAATTGGACAGTCCCATCTTGTTATTAAAACGTCGTCGTACTCTTCTTCCTAGGGTTTCAGCTTCATACCTCAATAGAATCACGCTCCCTGTATCGAAGTCTCTGTCTTCAACCCCAATCCCTCTCGAAAACCCGCTCACTTTTGTGTCTTATCAGCATCATCTTCCTCAGTAAGTATTTTACTTTCCATAATTTCTTGAGTTCGCGAATAATCTAATTATTCTTTTTTGCCTATTTTTTCGTCTTTCATTTGTAAGAATGTTATTATTTTCTGGGTTCCTAAGAACTGAAAATATCGGTGTCTGTAAGAATGCTTATGTTGAATTTTTAGACTTCAGTTTTAATTAAAGCTTCGGGATGCTGATATGAACCACCATATATTGAAACTTTCATACCTCCAGATTTCCCCCCTTTTTTTTTCTCTTTTTTTGAAACTTTCGTGAATCTTGTAAGCTTTAATCTTCGAGTTTTGTAATAAAATTAACACCCCCATTCAAATGGAGTTGTCCATTAATTATAAGTTTTTTATATGTTTTGTTATTTAATGGTATCTTCTTCCTCAATCATGGGTGTAGGGCTTTTATTTATTTGATTATTTATTGGTATTTCTCCCTCAAACATGGGTGTTGTTGACGAGAGGGGTTATATATGCTGAGGGTTTCTAACAATTTTGTCTACGATTTCGAGTCATGGACCGTAAATGTGTTTGAGGTGCTGAAATTGGATGAGATTGTGCAACAGAGCTTTGTCCTTTCTCATTGTTGAGCTATGTCTTGCTCTCAGTTGAAACTTTGCTCAATTTAGTTAATCATGGTAAAAGTTTTTAAGTAATGGGTTGTATAAACCAACAATGGATATATTTTTTTTTTTTTTTTTTTTTTTTCTTTACTTCATCCGCATGAGATTAAATAAGAGGTGGCATTCTTGTGCGTGTGTGTGAGAGAGAAATCCTTAGAATTAATTCTTTGTGGTGGTTTGGTTTGATTCTTTCAATTGAACAGTGGTGCGTTGTTTTTTTATGTTATCTGACACTTGGAATTTACCATAATTTTAATCAGTTTGAAGATGAAGAAGAAGAGGGCAAGTCATGCCATCCATTCGAAACCAGTTCTGGATCTGAAGTCTATTATTCATCAGAATTCTCAGTTCTTCGACAAGTTAGTTGAGCTCATCCCTGCCAGGTTCTATCTACCCATTGACGATGATGAGAAGCCGTGGTTTCAGGGTCTCAGCAAGTCTGCCAAAGCTTCGGCAAAGAAGGAATCAAAGGAAAACATTAAGAAAGCTCGAAGACAACGATTGGATCCAGAGAAGTCTTCTACGACAACCCTTGATTTGCTAAAACAAAGTTTGGAAAAGAAGTCGAGCGATGAGAGTGACAGTGATGAAATAGAGGTTAAACCTGTGGTGGCTGGTCTAGAAGATGATGACCGGTCAGTGACATATGAAGAACTCCAGCATCGTCTTCGTTGTAAGATCGAGGAGTTTCGGGCTGGTCGGCACTGTGAAGGTTCAGAGAGAGCAAGGAAGAGGATCGAGAGACATGGGAGATATGAGAAGAAAGGAGCTGACCCGAAGAAACGGAAGAGAGAAACTGCATCTGATGGAAAGAAATCTACTAGTGATGATTCAGTGAGGGAAGATGCTGCAGAGGCTTCGAAGGAGCTCACATTCGGTCATGTCAAACTTGGGAATGAAGATGAGCTGGGGAAGAAGAATAAGAAGAGAAAATTGTCAAAGTTGCAGGAGCTTGAGAGGGCAAAACAGTTGGAAGAAGCCAAGAAAGATCCCGAGAAAGGTGAGATAATCGCAAAGAAGCATTCTTGGAAAGCAGCAACAAGTAGAGCTGCTGGGATCAAGGTTCATGATGATCCAAAGTTGTTGAAGCAAAGCCTTCACAAGGAGAAGAAGAAGCACCAGAAGAATGCCGAGAAGTGGAAGGGAAGGGTTGAAACCACAGAGAAGATGAAAGCAGACAAACAGAAGAAGAGATCAGATAACATATCACAGAAGAAGCAAGAGAAGAAAATGCGGAAGATTGCGAAAAGAGAGAAAAAACTCATGCGGCCAGGTTTTGAAGGTCGCAAAGAAGGTTTTATCACTCAAGGTTAAGCATTAAGTTCTCACAAGAATCAAGTCCAATCAGCTCAGGGGAGGTTAATTTGAGGGTTTTTTTTTGTTCTTATAGAGCACAGCCCTGCCCTTCTCCTTAAATTTTGATTTCCTTCCGTTTGCCTTTTGTACTTTTGTAACTGTTTAATGCTTAGGAGCTGATATTCAGTAGATGAATGTGATTCAAGCATTTTCTTGCCCTTTGCTGCCATGAAGGATTAATCTGAATTTACCACAATCAGTATTTTGAGCTTAATGGTTGCTCTGTTTCTTGGCTCAGTGAAATCTTTCCTAGACCATAATGCTGATAATCTTACAACAAAATTAGAGGCATTCCAATTGTAATCAATCTGAATATTGAAGGGAAAATACAGAATTCAAAATGATGCAGAACTGTTCTCCTGATTGGTATCAGGCTACTTGAGAGATTGATATCATATAAAAATATCAAGACAAACTAATATAAATTAAATCAAAGAGGATGTTAACCAAGCTTTAATAAAAAACCATACATTATACGCATGATGCACACATAATGCTGAAAACAAGCTAGTTCCCACATATGTGGTACAAACATGCACAACACACCACTTGGTCACTGATTACATCTATCTACAACCACAAAACTCACAAACTAAAACTTAGAACCCCATATCAAATTATGACTCCCACAAAAGGAGAGGAAAACAAAAGAGAGTCAATTCTCATCTAAATGTGGAAGTCACTACTGCTATATGAGATCCTCAAACAACCCTAGTGGCAGGGACTGCTCCAGCTGTGCCCTTGTGTATTGGATCCACACCAGTAGCCGGGTAGTCGGTGTCGCGGTAACCCGGGCCATACTTGCTGCTGAAGACTCCGGCATGAAGTAGCAGGATGTACAAAAGCTGAGTGAATGCCAAGATTATTATGAAAGCCTCCAAGATCTTCAGCCTCCATCCTCTGTGTCCTCCAATGCTTATTTGCTTGCATGCCAACCTGTGAACACACACAACAATTATCTCAATTAGTCAATTGGTTGATCTAATTGACTAATTGTGTGTTGTAACTATTTATGTGAATTGAAAAGATTTCTTAGATTTGTTTACCCAAAGGCTAGTGCAGTGAGAGCCCATGCCACAACTGATGATGATCCTGCTGCAGCTAGGCTGTCACTCCTCCAAGCTCTGATATGGTTTGCTCCAGCCAACTTTGATGCTATGCCCATCACCCCAGCCAATATGGCGAATATCAGAAAGAACATTGTTGCTCCATTTCCTCCAAAACCTGCCCAAAATTTTTACACACTGTGATATCAAAAACCCAAGAAAAATCACTAGGACTTGAAAGTCACAGGGCTTGTTTAGGAGTGATTCTAGATAGGCCGATATTCCATCCTTTTTATGCAGAATCTTCTCTATATAACCACTTTAAGTAGTTTTAAGTGATTTTTTTGAAACTCACACTGAATCGCTCAAAGTGATTATATGAATAAGCACATAAAGGTATTTCTCCCCGTGAGAGATTCTGAACGAGCTCATAATTAAACAAGAAAACCCACGAAGAAAAGAGAGAGGTAATATAATATGAACTTACTAGGGTGGTTGGTCTGGCCATTGATGAACTTGTTAAGACACCAACTAGCAAAACCAACTACAATAAAATACATGATCAAGTTGAGAAACAGCAATGGAGCTGCCACGGTCCTTCCCACTGTCTGAGCCATATCTCCTTACAAAATCTCACAGATAAAAGCAACAAAACTAACACCAAGCAAGCTCTCTTCCTTTCAAGCACAAGCTTACTGCTGATCACTTTGTTTTTTGTTGAAGGCCTTTGATAAGAGCAAAGAGGTTGCAAGTGAGGCTCTATATAGAAGAGGCAACCGATGTAATGATGTTAGAAATGAGATACGTGTAAAGCAATCAGATTTGCATGTGGATTATTGGTTACAGCCTTACAGGTGGTAGGACACTTGTCAAGATTTGGTCACTCTGCTCCCCATGAAACCCTATTTCTGTCTCTTGGCCTCTCCAAGTTTCAAACTTTAAACAGACGGTGCATTATCCATACACCAGAGAAATGTCTAGCATACTGCTCAGCTGCACTGCCTAGACTGGTCCAGCACCCCAGTGGGCCCACCCCATCAACGGTGGAGATCAAAATCTCCATGTATTGGAGGGTGATGATGAAGAATGTTCCAAAGTTAAAGCATCTTTGATGTGGGGTTGCCTCTATGAGCTTCATGTGTTTCTGATGATCATGTTAAAGTTTGATATTTATGGTTTTGATATTCTTCCTGTAATATATATCTGTCAATTAATATACAGTAGCAATGAAAAGGGGTTTCTTTCTGGAATGATCTTGTCCTTGCTTGATTCTTGTTTTATCCAAACTTTAAAAAGGACACAATCGTCATAATAAAATGTAATATAAATACAAGTGCTGGGAAATATGTGTTGCTACTCTTTTAGCCAAACTTTTTTGTCCTTACTCATTCTCTTTAGTCTTGTGAATCGCTGCAAAATGAAGTTTCAGGAGTCTTGGAATTCTTCAACCAAGCATGTTTATAGTGAGCAAAATTGTGGTATTCTCTATGGCTATATGCGCTTTCTCCTGCTCTGCATATATTTGATGTGGAGCCTCCTTCTATCTCTGATGTTCTTGGTTGTTAGGGATGGCAGAAATTCCTCTATGGTCGTGGCCTAACGGGAGAGATTTTGGGAGAAAATTGGGGACAAATATGGAAATTCCTTGAATTTTAAAAGTATTTGATTGAGGATGGCTGAAGATGGTATTGTTATTCATGTCCCCGGACTAGGTCCGATAAGTGATATATTTACTTTAAAATAATATAGAATATAATATAACTATGTATGGTTATAATAATATAATATTTATTTAGTTGTCTCAAATTGAATTGAGATGATTTTTAGTAGTTAGTTAAATTTTATAGTTTAATTGAGTGGTACTTGAGTTGAATGATATTTTTTGGTGAAATTTAAGTGTTATAATGTAGGATAAATATCTTTATATATATATATATTTAAATTTAAGGATTCAAGGCTAATTTTTGAGATATCCCCCAACAGGGACGTGGACGAGTATTACCTCAAAATTCTTACCGGAGATGGAGATGGAGACGAGCGCAGGGATGGGACACATAGATAAGGATGATATTGTCATATGCGGTCACTAATCGGCCGGTTGCCTTCCCTATAGTTGTTGATGCCAATAATTTGGCTTGGACCAAATTAATTTATGTCTAGTTCTTTTTGTTGTTATTACAAAACCAAGGTCTGGAATTATTTTAATCATGAGCTATACAAATATCTATTCAAATTTTTTGCATCATTTTCGTATGATATCAGTCACTTTGTTTTTCATTCTGTTAATAAGCGTAAACTACATGTGTGATCAATCTCCATCCCACTTTTAGACTTAACAAAGGAATGGAATCCACATAAGTCGAAAATGGGCCAATAATTGCAAAAAATCTGAGATTAATATTCAACAATCCTAAATACACAAACACAGAACTAAGCCATGTAGCCCACATCCATTAGACTCCCAAATATAAGTAGCAGAACCCAGAAAGTTTCTAAAACCACTCTCTAGACTCAACATATTACAAAAAAAAAAAAAAAAAAAAAAAAAAAAAAAAAAAAAAAAAAAATTCAAGATTATATAGTGATTTACAGAAGACTAGTATAACCCAGAACTCAGAATTATTATTGTTTTTCCCTCGGTATGTTTTTAACCCTAAAAACCAACAACCCATACCTTCCTTCCACCCACAAGGCCCATCCCCTAACCCAATACCCTTACCCCGTTTGGTAGGAGGAAAGTGAAACTCTTCTCCGCCCTAGTGTTTTGTTTTCCCTTATCGTAGGAAAGTTTGGGAAAATAAGCCAACATTAAATGCACATTTTTCATGACTATTTTGACCTCATTAACAATTTAGAATTATAATATAGCATGCTTTTTTTTATTTTTTTTTATTTTTATATTTATAATAAATTTGTTACATTCCTATGCAAACCAAACATGTGAAAGGAAATAAAGTGGTATTTCCTGGTTACTTTCCCAGCATTATCAAACATGGGAAAATAATATTCTATTTCCCATTCCTTAGAAAAAACGTGAGAAATTATTTCTCATCAAATTTTTTCCACGAACCAAATGGACCAACCTTTGTCTTTTAGTCCATCCCATTTGTAATGTTTTTCAATTCAGGTTGGGAACAATGGTGGGTTAAATACTTTTGACACTTTCCAATACCGAATGTGTCGTGTTGATGCAACCCAAAAGAATAACATATGTGGTAACCCTAAATTAGAATTTTTTTATTACTTTAATTTGACATATTATGTTATTAGATTGTCTATCTAAATTATTATTTTAATTAGAATCATTTATGATTGTCTATCTAAATTATTATTTTAATTAGAATCATTTATGAATGTTTGGTGCTCATTCATAGTCTAGTATTATAACGTGCTAGCAATTGTCCAGCAAGAGAACATACAAGGTAAATATTTTCTTGCCATATAAGGTTTTCTTGTCAAACACTCATAGATAATCTAATGTATTTGTGGACAGATAGTCAATCTCAACCATTAATTAGTTGAGTTCGAATATGTGGTTTTGGTTCATAGTTAGGTAATACAATAGACTAGGCCGACCTTAGGGTGGTGCCACCGCACATGGCCTTGATTTTTAGAGGCTCTTTTGTGTGTGTGTGTGTATTTATCAATATATGTGAATGAGCAACATACTTACATGATTATGCGCCTATCAAAGTTGGTTTATGGCGCTCTTATTCTCGTTGGAGGCTGGAGTTTGATTCCCACTTATGCACTCACCAAACCACTAGATTAGGCGCGTTTTTATGGAAGTTAGTTATGCTTATTTACTTTACAATGGTAACCGTTTATTTTGCTATGAATATACTAGCATTTAACTTAGTCATATTGAAGCGTTAAAACTTTTAGGCCCCGTTTGGTTCACGAAACGGATTTGAGGGGAAATCACTTCCCATGTCATTTCCGGGAAATGAATTTCACCATGTTTGGTAATGCTGGGAAAATAACCGGGAAGATTCCTTTCCTATGTTATTTCCTTTCTCATGTTTGTTTTGAGTAGAAATGGAAAACAAAGTTTGTATAATTTTCAATTATACCGATATTAAATCAAATAAAAAAAGAATGCATTGAATGATATATATATTACAATTCTAAATTGTTAATGGGGACAAAATAATCATAAAAATGTGCATTTAATGTTGGTTCATTTTCCCAAACTTTCCCACGATGAGGGAAAACAAAACCCAAGAGAGGAGGAGGGCTTTACTTTACCCCTACTTTTCTATGTGTTAGGCAACGATTTCCATGCTTGGATTTACCAAACATGGGAAAGCAATTGATTTCGCATCCCCAAGCCTCATTTCTCATGAACCAAACGGGTATGAATTTGATTTGTGATTGCAATTGACAATGAAGTTTAATTTTAAAAAAATTGTTTTATGGCATCAATTCATGGTTATTTATTATTTATTGTTTTCATGTCATATGAGGGCTCGAATTTAATTTAAACACAGGACCCTCAAAATCTCAACACTGGCCATGACAATAGACCACATATATGGCGAAAAAATAATATAGTATGCTTGGAATATTTTATCCTTAGCAACTTAGCATGTTATTTTGTCATCCTGTTGTTTCGATATGTTGATTAGGTGTAGTACCTTGTGCTTACCTACAACATGTCATATTATGTCATGACCTTATTCGAAAATAAGGAATATTCCCGAATCAGGGTGTGAGTCATATCATAGTCATAAGAATAAAATCCTACAACCATGATATGATGAGAAAAAGAGCCACAAATGATTACAAATTTACCTAACAACACAGAATCAGAGTCGCAGTAGCTCGTAGTTAATTACACACTAAGATCTTTATCTAATAGTTGACTACTTACAAAAGTTAATTACACAAATCAACAACAAAAGCCTAATAGCTTGGTTGAAACCCGCTTCCTCAAACATCGCCTTGAATCCTGCACAATCTATTAGGGTATGAGCATTCTAATGCCCAGTAGAGTACCGTCAAACCCCACAAGGTCAGCTATCACAGTTAATCAAAGTGTCATGCATCAAACAACACAAGATATATAAGTTATGCAATCAAACCAAATGAATAAATTTGCATTATGTGATGATGCCATGAACTCACTCCCTCATAATCCCACTAATTCATACCTTAGGGCAACAAGCTTGCATGTCCCATATCATGTGTTTTACCACTGTGGCTCCGAATACCCTAAAATATGAACTAGCGTCCATCTGTCCCTTAACCCAGTTTTCTTTGTTTATGAATTTCTCAACTTTCACTTTTCATTAGAGACCCTGCTCCCATCACCTCATTATATTCAAGCCCCGCTTCTGTCACTTGAATATATTTTACTTTTTTTCTTACTCAAATATATCTAAGGTCTTCTCCCACCCCTTAGATATACGTCAAACGACACACACACCCTTAACACCACTGTATTTATGATGCATATGTAATGCAGTGCAAACATCATTTATCTATGCTAAATAATAATATAGATAATAACAATAATATTTTAAGCTTCATCACATGAATAATAATATTCACCCAATGTCAAAAATAATATCCATGGAGAAACATCAATAATAATATCCACATAACATCAAATAATATTCATCGAGCAAAACAACAATAATATTCATATTTATAATATCATATATAAGCACCGAGATTAAAAGTGACATAGCCCTATCATCGGGAAATCAGGAAACCCTACCTCATGTCCAGTTAGCTAAAAGACCAAATTTACCCTTCGGAGATTCTCGAAGTTGTCGAATCTACACTTTTGATCCAATTCCTTATAGAATTTTTCTTCTCTTCCTCCTATTCTTTTTCTCCTTGTTCTTAGTTTTCTTCTTCTTCTTCTCCTTTCTCTCTCTCTCTCTCTCTCTCTCTCTCTCTCTCTCTCTCATTATCATCTCCCTCCTGCTAGCAATTCACCTATCCTAGCTTCATCAAGAAAAATCCCTTAGGCTTATTCTCTCTCTCTTTTTTTTTTTTTTTTTTTTTTGGCCTACAAGGATATTTTGGTAATTATCCACACATAAGGGTATTTTGGTCATGTTTGTCCAACTTCAAATTAAACATACTTAATTTAATAATCTCAATCCAAAATCACTTGATAAAATACCCATAATCATTCTCCATCACAATATTATTTTTCACTAAAATATGAAAATCCACCTTGAATTTTTCGGGCTATTACATATTATATTGTCAGACTGTTAATCTAATATCATATGTTAATGTATTGTCCTTTTGTATGTATGATACTGTAGCACGACAAATATCTAAGAAAAGAACATTATTATCCTATATTCATGCTATATTCAGCTCACGGACCACAGGTCAAATGATAAATCCTACCAGATAGTCTAATATATTATGTGGCCAACATGTTAATCTAATCTGATGAGTAGGTTACGTAATGTTTAAATATGTTACTGTTGTCTTTAGTTTGGCAATTTTATGATGCTTACTATTAATAAAATTCATTGATTAGGTTAAGTAATTTTTAATTATGTTATCCTCGTATGTATCATAACATGCCAAATATATGATAAGAGAACATTATATATGGATGATATAAATATAGAATCTTATAATTATTAATGTGATAGATTAGAAAAATTATTTTTTTAAAAGATGACTTAGGAAGTGATATTTTTTGTTGTTGTTGAGTATAAGTGATAGTCTAAACTACAAAGGATGAGATTTTTCCACACAAACACAACTATGATGCCATAGGGGTTTGAACCTGAGACCTCTTTTCTACAAGTTAAGGCCGTTTTCCACTGAGCTAGACCTCATTGGCAGGAAGTGATATTTTAAAAAACTCAAAGTATCACAAAAATCGATTATGTTAAAATACAAAATAAAAAATAAAAGAAGAAGAAGAAGAAGAAGAAAAGAGTGAGACCATTTTTAATACCTCTTTGTTCACTCAATATCTATATTATTACTTAAGATAAATTACCATTATGAATCACGTTCATAAACTTCCACTTATGCTCTTATTTATGTTAAATCCAATAGAGAAAAGAAAAAGTAATAGTGGTCTAACTCAATGGAAAATGGCATGAATTCCCACGACATCTTGTTAGTGTGTGTGTGAGAACTCCTAGTCCCCATATAATTTAAAACTAAAATAATAAGAGTATACAAATAATTTAATGTTATAAATACATAGAATGTGGATGACCTTTTGATATATTGTAACATATGTAATTAGTAGCCTTTAACTCATAATTTGTGGGTTAGCTTCCTATCATTGTAAGCCTATAAATAGGTGATTATCAAAGACGAAGATGACAAGTTTTTAGGGACTAATTTATATTGTCTTCCTCTATTCCTTATTTCTCTCTACAAATTCCCTTAGTCATATAACATTTAAAATAATTATAAAAAAGAAAAAATTTGCTCCACATTTCTCTCACCACCTTGTCTTCCTATTCTTTTGCAGTAAAGCATTCTCACATGGATAGCATTTGGTTAGTCTACTTTTTCTATGAAGTTTATACACTGATATTAGAGCATCTACAATCATGCTCCTTATTTTTAGTTGAAATTTAGCTAAAAACACTAGAAAGCTATTTTATGAGCTCTCTATAAAATATCAATTCCAACAATACTCCTTAAGAGGGTGTATTCAATTTAGATTTTAAATGATTTTAAAAGAGTTATAAAGTTGATGGAGTTTAATTGAGTTTGACTGAATTCAACAAACTCCACATAGATTTTGACTAAATTCATATATAGATTTTAACTGAGTTTGTTAGAATTTTATTATTGATTTTAATGGAGTTTATAGTGATGGCGGTGGTGGTGTTGGCAATGGCAGTGGCAGTGGTGATGGTGGGTTGTGGGGGAGGTAGTGGTGGTGAAGGTGGTGGTGGTGGTGGTGGTGGTGGAGGTGGTGGCTGTGGCAGTGATGGTAATGATGATGACAGTGGTGGTGGTGGTGACGATGGGGCTAATAGTTGGGGTGGTAGTGGTGGTGGAGGTGGAGGTAAGGGTGGTGGTGGTGGCAGTGATGATGATGGTGCTCGTGGTAGTGGTGGTGACGGTGGGGGTGATGGTGGAGCTGGTAGTGGGGGTGGCGATGAGTGGTAGTGGTGTTGGGGTCAGCGGCGATAGTGGTGGTGGCGGCGGCAACGATGATGATGACTGTGGTGGTGGTGGTGGCGGCGGCGGCGACGATGGTGGCTATAGTGATAGTCATGATAAGATGGTGGTAGTAGAAGTGGTGAAATCATATCTTGAGAATAAAAATAATATATCTATCAAAATCTCTAGAGGAAAACAAAGATTTGTCATGGCCTAAAATTAGTATACACCCAAACTTTTATGAAGTTTTTTAAAGTCATGATTGAATACATCCAAATTTGAATGGAGTTTAAAAAGTTTGAATTGAATACACCAAGAATTGAATAGACTTCTATAAAATCATGATTGAATACACTTAAACTTTTAAACTTCTTTAAAATCTTTTAAAATCTAAATTAAATACACCCCCCCTAGTTTAGGTAGTCATAAATGCTTTAATTCTTTTTTAATTTATTTTTGGAATTGAGTGTAGACAAAAAAAAACAAAAAACAAAAAGTACTCAGCATTAAATAAATGTTTGAAATAGTATTAAAATAATCAATATGAAATTTTAAGGAGTCACTAGGAGTCCTTTCTCTCTCCTCATATTTTAGAGCTCCTAGAAGTCTCCCTATTTTTAGGAAGTGGATTGGGAGCATGATTGCATTTGTATTTTTTTCAATTCCTTCCTAAAATTTGTCTAATGAGTTGGTTTAAGGAGCCTATTGTAAATTCCCTTACTCATTAAAGAATTAACGAAAAGAAAAAATCTTTATATGTTTTCTTTTCTCTCTCTGCCTCTCCTCTGCAAAACTTAGAGACGACATACTTTTTATTTTATTTTTTTGATCCATGAAAAATGAGGTCTTCAAACTTGAGACATTTTCCAACATTGACATGCGACATATAATTAGACAAAGAGTTAGTTAGTTATTGTATTTTATTTTTCGGTGTAGCTAAGTTTAATTGTATAAACATAATTAGAGTGAATCCAATTTAATTTATAAATAAAATACAAGCTAAATTCAAATTGGGTACGTTGTTTTTTTAATCTATATTATATTAAAGATAATTATCTTATCTATCCTAATAAATTAAAAATTCACATATGCATAAGGGGTTTGTAGCTAAAGTGGTTAAGAGTATTTACCCATGCATCCGAGTTTCTATGTTCGATTCCCATATCCCCTAATATTACTTGTATAAAAAAAAGTCAAATATGCCATTTATTCTTCTGTGGCAATTAAATAGGATTAATGTCATGGCTAATGTATGGTGAATTTATAAATATTAGGATTAAATTTATTAAACTGGAAAATACTCCACATTTTGTGTTTTGGAAATCTCATCTAGAGTGGTGTGATTCATAAGAGCTGGCTTGGATTCAATTACTATCCAGCCCAAATCGAGCCACCAAATGAAGCATAATAATTATGGGTAGAATAGTAATTGCGTAGAATCTCACTTTTTTGTTTGATAGAGGTAGAATCTCGCTTTATTGGTTCCAATTTTTACTCTCATTTTACTTTTTCAACCAATCCACTCATTTCACATATCTCACTTTTTTATTTTATTTTATTTAAAGCACTTTAACTTATGATACGTCCATGCATCACATGTGCATCATTCTAGTTATTTATGGATCTAAATTTCATTTTTTTGAACAATTTGGTACTTATATTTTATCTTCATGTTATTATAGAATGGGGGGAGAAAGAAAGTGAGTTTGTAAAAATTGAGGCTAAACTACATTCATATAGTGGCAAAAGGGATGAGAATTTCTCTCACACACGCACACAATGACAATATACTATAGGGGTTCAAACTTGAGACCATTGATTTGTAGTCAAGACCCTTTTTCATTGGGCTAAACCTCATTATAATTGGTTACCATTAGTTTTGTGTTGTTGTTGTTGTTTCTTATATATATATACACTAGCCTTTCCGCACGCGCTTTCGCACATGCAAGAGACTTTTTTTTTAAAATTTGAAATTTATTTTAGAATTAAAAAGATAATGGGTAGTTGTGTTCCATAAAAATAGGATCTATTATATGAATTTTCTTTTAATTTTAATTTTTTAATATGAAAAAAGTGAATTTACCATATTATCCTCATTTAATTAATAATTTCAATTTTTAATGTTTGCATTAATCGATGGCATTTTATGGTATTTGAATGTTTTACCATTCTCTACCTTTTGCTTTATATATATAGATTTTTATTTTTATTTTTCCATTTTAACATTAGGGAAAAGAAAATGAGTCTAGTTGTATTGCATGAAAATAGGATCCAAGATCTCATTAATTTCTTTTAATATAAAAACGGTTAATTTACTATATTATTCTCATTTAACGAATGATTTCATTAAATGAAATATTGATAATTTACTATATTATCCTTATTTAATGAATAATTTCATTTGTTAATAATTTCGTAAACTAATGATATTTTGTGGTATTTTGAATGTTTCATCATTCCTCTGCCTTTAGTAATAAAATTTAAAGTTCATGATAATAATGACTTGTTTTGGAGTGCTTCTAGAAGGGCTAAATGCACTTTCTAACAACTAAAAACGTTTTTGACAGTGTTTGGAATGAAAGTTCAGAAGTGCTTTATGATGTTATATGCTTCTTCAAGAAGCACTCCCAAGTGCTTTCCAAGAAGTAGTTGGATTAAAAAAAAATGAAAATTCAAGCTTTTTATCATAAAAGTACTTTTGTTTATCAATACATTTTTGCAACAAATTTTCTATAAAGCATTTGGATTTTTTATTATATGAAAATTCAAGATTTTTATCATAAAGACACTTTTGTTTATCAATACGTTTTTGCAACAAATTTTCTATTTCCTACAACCACCATTATCAAACGCTGTCAAAAATATTTTTAATTGTTAGAAATTTTTTTTAGCCATTCTAGAAGCACTTACAAACATGCCACTCAAATATGGTAATTTTTGAGTGCGATAACTCTCCTCACAAGCATAACATGCGTAGATAGTTCTAGATGAAAAATTAAAGTGGGACCCAAATGGGTGTTGTAATACATCAATCGTCAACTGATGTTTGCTGTCCTAAGCATCCAATGCTCACGTATATTTTTTACTCTTTTGGGGACACAGGGGCAATTCTGTCCAAGAAAGTCAGTTTCATTCAATTTTAATCTAATTTGCTGGGAAATTTGGACGCCAAAAATTGACGCCCTTTGTCATTTTTACATTTCAAAATCCGCCATGAAAGTACCTCCTTCAAATTTCTCTGCAGAACCCTAACAACAGCCCACCCACAACCACAACCGCAACCTTCCATGCTCAACCTCCACAACCACACTGTCTTCCCACTCAAACCCATTTCATTTCTCTTGAAAAAATGGGCTCTCTCATCCCAATTCTAGACCTCAATAACCTCCCAGAATCAACCGCAGGCTCAACCCCAACCAACACCACCCCCATCGCCATGAAAGTCCCGAAAATCGAACCCAAGCTCGAACCTTTCGACGAGCCACTCGATACCCAACTGCCCCAACTACCCCAAGAACCCTTCGTTCCCACTCCTACCCCCAACTCTTTCGGTAATTCCCAATTGACCCCTTTCTCCGACCCCAACCACACCCCTCTATCTGAATCCTCCACCATACCCTCAGACCAAGACAATGTGTACTCGGAGTTCCATCGGATTTCCGAGCTTTTCCGAACAGCTTTTGCAAAAGGGCTCCAGCGTTTCGGTGACGTCGACGTTTTGGACCCGGATTCGCGAGCAATTGTCCCCGTTTCTCAAGAACAACAGCTCCAAGAGGTCGTCGTTGCGCGAAGAAAATACCCCCAGCGGTCCTCTGAGCTCGTCCGGGTCACCGATCTCAACGTTGAGGACCAGCGCTACTTCCGAGACGTAGTGCGAAAAACCCGAATGCTATACGATTCGATTCGCATTCTGTCAGTGGCGGAAGAGGAGAAGAGGGCCCCGGGGCTCGGGAGACGAGCCCGAGGTGATTTGCGAGCCGCTTCGGTGCTCAGGGATCGTGGGTTGTGGCTCAATCGCGACAAAAGAATCGTTGGTTCGATTCCTGGGGTCTATGTTGGCGATATCTTCTTTTTTCGGATGGAGTTGTGTGTGGTTGGATTACATGGCCAAGTCCAAGCTGGGATTGACTATCTTCCGGCGAGCCAGAGCTCGAACCATGAGCCAATTGCAACCAGCATTATCGTTTCGGGTGGCTATGAAGATGATGAGGATGCGGGTGATGTGATTATCTACACTGGTCATGGAGGGCAGGACAAGTTTAATAGGCAATGTGCTCATCAGAAGCTGGAAGGTGGGAATTTGGCATTGGAGAGAAGCATGCATTATGGGATTGAAGTGAGAGTTATCAGAGGGATCAAATGTCAAGGCAGTGTTTCAAGTAAGCTTTATGTCTATGATGGCTTGTATAGAATTTTTGATTGTTGGTTTGATGTGGGCAAGTCTGGCTTTGGTGTTTATAAGTATAAGATTTTGAGAATGGAAGGGCAAGGGGAGATGGGTAGCGCCGTCCTTAAGTTTGCCGAGAGTCTTAGGACTAGGCCCTTGTCTGTGAGGCAGTCGGGTTATCTTAGTTTGGATATTTCTAATAAGAAGGAGAATGTTCCAATTTTCCTTTTCAATGACATTGATTCTGACCAGGATCCCTTGTACTATGATTATCTTGTGACAACTGTGTTTCCAACGCAAGTATTTCATCAGTCTGGGCAGGGGACTGGGTGCGATTGTGTTGATGGTTGTTCTGGTAATTGCTTTTGTGCTATGAAAAATGGAGGCGAGTTTGCTTATGATCAGAATGGGTTTCTATTAAGAGGCAAGCCTGTGGTTTTTGAATGTGGGACCTTCTGCCGTTGCCCCCCACACTGTCAGAATCGTGTCACACAAAAAGGGTTGAGAAATAGACTGGAAGTGTTTAGATCAAGGGAAACAGGTTGGGGAGTTAGGTCCTTGGACTTGATACATGCTGGTGCCTTTATATGTGAGTATACAGGGGTTATTCTCACTAGAGAAATGGCTCAAGTTTTTGCAATGAATGGTGATAGCTTGGTTTATCCACATCGGTTTTCTGATAGATGGACAGAGTGGGGAGATTTATCTCAGATATATCCTGATTATGTGCGTCCATCTTATCCTTCAATCCCACCATTGGATTTTGCAATGGATGTATCGAAAATGAGAAATGTTGCTTGTTACATGAGCCACAGTTCCACTCCAAATGTGCTGGTGCAATTTGTACTGTATGATCACAATAATCTAATGTTTCCTCATATTATGCTATTCGCAATGGAGAACATCCCTCCCATGAGAGAGCTGAGCCTTGACTATGGGGTGGCTGATGAATGGACGGGGAAACTTGCTATCTGTAACTAAATAATTTTGATGGCGTGATGCTTTTTGGATCATGCAGACAGTTACCGGAATATGAGATACTGAGGTAAATCCAAATTCTTTCTCAGGCAAAGTATTTACTTTTTTTGGTTTTGTGTTGCATCAGATCAGCTTGCCTTGTTTCCCTTCTAATTGCTGAGAATCTTAAGCAGTGAGCTTCTCTTTTCCTGTGATTTGCTGTAGCTCTAGTTCAAACTTCAATGCCACCTTACCACCTATTTATAGCCTGCTAGGTGTGTGATTCCTTGTGCAATGATGTACTCTAGTAATCATATGGTGAAGCATATCCGGAGGAAGGGGCCTTTAAGATTCTCTGTGATGGAGGTGAATTGTCTTGTTACAGATAGTAGCTAGTCATTCTAATCTATGTACTTAGGATACACCTTTTCCATTTGTGCCTCTTTGGATCAAGACTGTTTCATTCATTTCCATTGTAGGTACTATCATGGGGCATGATACTGCCTATAAACTATAATCATGGAATTTTATTGTTAAGTTTTATAATTTTCTAAGATCGTATGTTCATCTAAAGATAAATGATTGAGGGATAAAAGTTGCTTAATCTCTTTATCTGTTTCATGGTTGTGTCTTGTATGTGTATGTAGTAGTACTTTTAAATTTGTTGCATTAGAAATAGGTGTTTGGATTGCTGTTGTTAATCTAGTTATTTTCTATGAGATATAGAGGATATCATAGTCACCTGCAGCGAGAAAATAAAAGTAATAAGGAGTAAAGCGGGACATGAATGCTGTTTAAAATCAGCAATTAGAATAGTTTGTCACCTCACTATTAGTTTGACTCCTGCAATCTGACACCGAGTATCCAGAAATTTTCCATTTCTGTTCATGACCCCTAAGAGAAAAAAAATTCAATACCTCTTGCAATGGAAAGGGATTTGACCCCTTGACCTAGCCTAATCCTAACCCATCTCCCAACCCTCTCTCCCAATATTGCTCTATGTAAACAAGTTTCAGCTAGAACTTTTGTTGAATTTACATATAATGATTTCTTAACATTGAGCAGGGGTGGGCCTGTGTTATTTTTCGCTATTCTGGGGTTGTATGTTTACGTGAGCAGGGGAAGACTGAAAGATTTTTTTTATAGTGGAGCATAGTAGCCAGTTCCCAATAAATAAAATCTTATCAATGAATTTTTTGGTTACACTTATACAATTTTAAATTTCAACTTCCTACATGATTTCTCATTCTACAACGAAAGTATTTGCTTTTCAGTCCTGAAAAATGATACTCCCTGTTGTATGTTCAAACACATTAAAACAAAAATCTAACCCCCTATTTTATATATATTTTTTCAGTACGAAATAACAATGATATTTTTAGAATTTTTTTCCCCTTGTTAGGGGTATAAATATTTCGTGCTTCTAGCAGGAGCAATTTTGTCATAGAGTCATATTCCCCATTGCTTGTAATTGGAGTCATCCTTTTAGTCTGCATGCCATTATATTACTAATGAGCGCGGCTAGAACAATATAGAGCATGCGTCGTAATTGCACCTTTGGGTTCTGAAAGAGTCTACGTGTTTGTATTTGAGATATGCCAGTTATAGGAATAGTTGTTATTTGAAGCAGTTATAGGAGTAACCTTTATAGATAATGCTTTTGTTGGCAAAAGCTACAACTACGTAATTGTGATCTCTTTATTTTATTTTATTTTAAAAAAAATTTATAGAAAATTATTACTTACTACTGATGAAAGGGAAGTACAATCAAAGTCCACAAAATATATGACCCTTTACCTACCATAAAGAGAAACTTATAGCACAATAACCGCCAACCCACCCTACCCAACAAAGATAACGGGTCCTACCAAACTTCAACCAAAATAAGACACTGCAGTTTCCAATCCCTTGAAAGGAGAAAGAACGGGTAGTCTCTAAATGCAGATGAAACTGAAGCCCAAAGTGAGGCCTAATGTCTAGCCTTGTCGCACATACTTTTAATCTATTATCCAGCGACTATGAAGACGCTATTTGATTTGTTTAGTGTTTCTAGTATTTCTTGAAGGGGACTTTAGTACAGGGAACGTTAAAGAGATTTGTGTGGAATAGATACGTGAAAGTCAAATGAAGCAAAAATGTAGTGGTCTACCTATGGAGTGTGGTTGACTCTAATAAAGGGTAATAATTTGAGTTACTACAGTAAACATGAGACACCCCAATTATATATTTTTTCCCTAGGAAAAATTCCTGGAATTGATTGATGGGAAAGTAATGTAAACACATAAAGTAGTACCCTGATTTCACTTCAACTGACGCATTCATTAATCACCAAAGTAAATAGATTAAAAGTATTAGAAGCATTAGATTATAAGTAGAGAACAAAGTAAGTTTTACCTATGGAACTAGTTCTTGTGTTTTAAAGAAAAAAGTGCAAGGCAAATACGCAAAGTTTTATGCAGGACCTGTTTTATACCTATGGTATACAGCATAGTTGTTGTGTGTATGGGGTGTTTGGAGGTTATTTACTTAAGTTGTACAAAATAAATGCTAGGGCTACAACTAAATGTCAACTTACTATCGTGTATGTTGATTTGGGAAAGGATACGCCCAAAAAATAACTTGTGAGAATCTTTGGCAAATATTTTTGGCAGCTACAAATGGACCAATTAGTATTCAGTTTCTTTCATGAATTCTGTATGCTAATTTAATCTATGTGTTTGTATATAAAAGGAACTTCTTTAAAAAGGCGTCCACATTTTAAGAAACGTGTAGACTTCCCTTGTTTGGGTGACCCTGCAATTAATGTTTAATGATTCAAACTGTCCATTTCTTACAATATTTGTTCAATGGATCATCCTTGGAAAAAGTTTGGCAAATAGGAAACCATTTTAGTCATCAAAGTATGATCAAATAAGTTAACGAGCACAATGTTTCCGATAAGATTGAAATGATGACTATGATAATCAAATGACTAACGATTTCTGATTTGTTGTGTAATATTTTGCAGAGACAAATTGGTAGGTTTTCTTTTGTCATATACTAGTTGAACATATAATTCTTTCCTCATTGAAATTCTTGGTAGCTTCTCTGTACATTAAAGTGAAAACACATTTGTTCTCTATTTCTTGCCCTTGCCATATCAACTAGATAAAAAAACACATTTGTTCTCTGCACCGACACTGTGGCTTCAGACAACATCTTGTCATCTTAATTGCTTAACCAAAATATTAAAACCATTTTTAAAATTGTTTTTTTATCTTTCAGGTAGGGTAGAAAATAAGGAATCCATGTTGGAATCATGTTTCTGTGTGACAAAGTCGCTACTATTAAAATTAAATTCTGTAAAAGTTATTGCAAATTGACTAGAATAAGCAATAATTTATTTTCAATTTGAAATTCATGTTGTTTATTAAAGGTGTATTTCTTTCCTTTATTTTCTTTAAAACCAATTAATTTTTTAGGTTTGTAAAGCTAGAAATTCGTTTTACTTCTGCAAGTGAAGATTCAAAATGCATTTTAAGATAACATTCAGTTGGCCACTTTGCAGAAAGTGCCCAACGTATTCAAGCTCTGCCAGGCTGTATTACCACAAACCTGTTTCATGCACTTGCCTGCACAGGTGAACACACACATGCCACACGTGAGTGCGCACACACATAACTTGTTCCAGGTTATATTTCTATTAAAATTTTAAGTTGGTTCATTAACTATAGCTAAAGCCAGAGAGTCATGAAAATCTTTGCATTTAGGAAAGGGAAGTTTAAAGTTAATTGAATAAAAGAAGCAGCTTGCTTCCCCGGGGGGAGTATGAGCCTTCTCTATTGTTTATTTCTGCAGTTGTATATTATTTGCTGTATATAATTTCGACCAAAACTTTGCAAATGGAAGGGCAATTCTCACTGGCCAAAAGTATGATGCACTAAATATTCTATCATCCAGTTATTAGTTCCCTTTTCTTTATAATCGTAATTCAGTTCATTAGATTTCTGTATATGATAGCTTAATCAGCCTTTCACTGTTGTGATCTGAAGCCATTATAGGTCATCTGGTCAATATTATTTTCTGTTTCATTGTATGTAGGTGTGTACATGGAAAAAGATTGTAAAACTGTGGTTATCAGACTATGATTGGATATGTTTGGTTATTGTTGCAATTGCATTTATAATATTAGATAACCAATAATCATTCTAGCTCACTAATTTTGTTATCTTATTTTGCAGATGGCATTCGGACTACATAGCTCTGTAGTTTTCTTAGATGGCTTCTGAATTCTGTGGTCCATGAATTTTTCCTCAAAAGTAGATGCTGAAAATGTAAATTTTGCTATCAGATTATCCAAAAGCATTGACTTGGCTCATGTACATGTCAAATTGAAGTCACAGGGTTAGAAAAAAAAGAAAAAGAAAAGGGAAAATGAACTGGAATTGAGAACTCGCTGACCGAGCCATAAATGCTGCTGTGATGATTTGCGCTGACATTTTAGGCATTTTTCTGTTTCCTGGACTAAGTCTTCATACATGCAATTCCACCGCAAGTTGCGGTCTGCAACTGATGGTAGTTGCCATTAGGCTTGTTAAGCTTGTAAGCACAACTGTAGTAATCTTCTGTACTTGTAGCTTTGTATATATAATGATCCAAATGGCTAAAGTTTGTACAGGAATTGTATAATTAGTGCTTCCACATATGTTTGAATAGAGTCCATTTGTTTGGTGCCTCGGATAATTCATTTGTAGTGGATGATGATGATTAAGGGTTTCAGGTAACTTAAAATCAAGGATAAACTACTGCACTCCTGAATGATCTCTACTTGAATATAACTGGCATGTGTGAGCAAATTCTGGGCCATTGTGGTGCCTAAAACTTCCATGCTCGGGGATCATTTGTTTAAAGAACTTTTATGATTATGGAACTTGCTGCTTCCATGAACAAGACATACGTTTCATTTGGAGTCTCATCTCATCTTGCACTTTCCGGCAAAGCTTGTCAACTATGAAGTTGAAGTTGGTTTGCCCCATGCCATAAAAGATAAACCTTTCAGAACGGCAGTGACCAATTTGATGCGTGTTGGGTAACCTTAAGAACTATTAGTGTCATAAAAAAACCTTAAGGATGAAAATTGATAATTTTGCACATCTCAAGGACCATTTGTGATAAAAGGCTTTGAATTAATAATCCAATTTTACATTTCAATAGAAAAGTAATAGCAATGCGAGTTAAACCTAAGACCTGATGAATTTTGATGTTAGACAAAGCGACCAGGCTAGAGAGAGGTGCTGAAACTAACTTTGATTGTTTCCTACTTAAAAGAAAACGATGATTTAAGCAAAACGATAAACTAAAAGGGTGAGAAAAGCAAGTTACCCAAAAGCAAATAAACAAAGCATTAACTTTGACATTACTCCAACTGAGACAGGCCAAGGAACATATTACATATTCGTATATTATGCAGAGAGCTTTTGAGTACTGCATCTGCATAAGAATGGCTATGATTGCCAAGTACAATTTTTCTTTTGGTAAGATTTTGTGTGGTCATATATAAACCTTTTTTTGTTATATAATCAAAGTTGTAATATACACATTTGCAGACAACTCGGTCTCCGAATTCCGGTATAATGTGAGCAATAATTTGTGAAGGACATGGCTCATGCTTGAGATGCGTGTGTTCCATTTTTTTCTAGTTCACGTAGTCTCGCTCTCTCCATCTTCCTTTTACGCCACTCTTCCAAGGCTGCAGGACATTATGCAAATTGCTAAAATCTAGTTCATAATAAATATAAAAAAACAGCATCTAAACAAGTAGTAGGAACTCAAAACCTTGCTATTTCCGGACCTCAAATAGAGGTCACAGGCTAAATGTATCTTTCTTGCATGTACTAATACTAGAAGTTGGAAAAATAATTTGACGAAAATTTTCATGAAACTCCACATTCATTTTGTAGGCTACTTAATTCACACAAGAAACAAGAAATGATGAATCCATCTGCTCTAGCATCAATTGAGTGAAGAATGTTTGATGAGTTCTCTGAAAGATTATGGTTAACATCTAACTTAAAATGCGAGCAATTATCTGATTTCATGAAGAACAAGTAACTGACACAGTCGCACAGGTAGCAGGCAGCACGCTTCTAGACAAACACATGATAGAAACATCTAAGGTCAGATTCAAAACGGTTCACAATATCATCAATTGTTTTTACGTAGAGAGGAACATGCAATATCACATAAAAAAAAATACCACCATGGAAAGGTGATTATTATGAGGGATTCCGTAACCAGAGAGTTCCATTTCATAAATCTCCTGATAAAGATATAATTCACCCAAAAACATTTCTGTTTTGGGTTCCCAGAGAGACTGAGATGCTTACAATGCAGACACAGGGATAGAGAACGCACATATCCAATTTAAAGCATGAGCTGGAAACACAAATGCTCTAAAGGCCATTACTAGAATACAGCTTCCAGCAGGAAGAGTCATTATATGATCCCAAACGGGAAAAACAGCTGTTTGACAAAAAAAGCAGATATGTAGAGGAAAGATGACAGATTTTCACCTTTGAAGCTGGTAGCATCATTAACAGAACGCAGATCTTTCAATCTTTTAGAAAGGTCACCTGCAACGGTTTGCTTTGTGTCTTTCTCTTGAACTGTTTCGGGTTTTGCATTTGCTTCTTGTTGGATTTCCTTCACCTGAAGAGGGAAGAAAATTTAATGAAAATCAAATTGTACCCCAACCAAATTCCAAAAGTAAAAAGTTACAAATAACTCAAAATGAAAAGTGCACATTCAAATCAGAGAAGCAAGCAGTTTAAAACGATATGGGTTCGGCTTTTACATGGGGCATTCGCCACTTTATTTAAACTAGCAATAGAAGGAATTTTTTACTAGAATTATAATTAGTGAATAGCAATTATAACACTGATGCCATACTTACTCTTTTTATCAGTTCCAAGGGTCTCATAGCAAGACGAATTTCTTCAGATTCTCGAACATACCTAAGTGTGGCTGCAGTTGGAAGTATAAACAGTCTGTTCCAGTCAATCTGAATGTTCAATGCTCATAAAGTAATGCATATATACAAGGAAGATTAAAGAACCCAATTAAAGTCAAGAATATATCATAATAAAGCATATGAAGCATCCCACAAGAAGAACAGAAACCTTTCACAGTTTCATGATTCGAGTACATTTAACTTATTATAATGAATGCATCAAAGTTTAACAATCACCATGTTTTCTTAAATGAAAAATGCAGTCCTGGTATTGTAATGCCTCATGGAAGAAATGTCTTAACAATCCCCCTGTTGGACCATTTTTCCCTTAGATTAAACTCATTATTTCCATCAAGGTAAATCCCATGGGTTTAAATAGTTCTAGATCAGATCGGAGATCATGGGAGATCGAGGAGCAGGGACACACAACTCAACTACCTTTCATCTTTAGAGTACTCAAGGCAACTCATATGAAAAATATTTTGAGTAATTTACAAAATTTCTCTAACCAAAAGTGAATCTCAGGGTAACCAAACAAGAGATAGCAAACAAATCCAAGGTTTCACTAATCTAAACAGGGTATTAACTCTTCTCCAAGAAAAACTTAAAAATGGAATGAGATCATGTGGTTCTGAATTTCATTTCAACAATAAAACTTCACGGCTGTTCAATAATCCCCATTTGGGGTTTGGAAAATTAAGTGCATGGAACTAAAGTCACAGAATTAATGGGTTTGAAATATCAGCTAGCAAATATCATATTTTACTTATTGATTTAACTTTTGAAATTGAAGCTGGTCCAAGTCCAAACTAGGAAGAAAACCTCATAAAGTTAACATTTAAGGGTTCAATCAAATATATTCAAATCCCAAAACCCAATTCTAAGGAGGACTTCCTAGTTAATTTAGAAAAGATAATAAATTCTGATTTTGAATTAAATAGAAGCCCTCAATCACAAAACTTTTAAGCCTAAAAATCCTAATTTAAAAGCATATGCTTAAACCTTCCAACATCAGCATCCTCATATGTCTAGTTTTTGTTCCAGTCACTTATCTACCATAAAGCTGTACAACAGGATCATAATACCATTAAACCCCACATTAACCATCCAAATTCCCCAACCCCAAACGAAATGTCTCTCCAATCCAATCAACAACAAGAAGAAAATAATGGGTCAGCAAGAAAAACCCACAACTCTTCATTAATCTAATCCCCCAAATTTTTTAAAAAAGTCAGGAAATTTAGATGATGGGTCAGCATGCTTTGCAAAGATACAGAATACCCATGTGACAACTTGTTCTTCATTTGCAGAAACATCAGAGCTCCTTCACGACAAACGAAAAATAAGACCGAGAGAAAGAGAGAAAGAGACCTGAATTGAGGTGAGAGGTGGACAATTTGGAGCGAGAAGAAGCAGAGGAGAGAAAGCCCTGAAGCAATAGAAGAGCAGTGATCACGTTCAGCAAACACATCATTATGGTCGCGCTCCTGAACGATAATCTTGGCCTCCATGATTGCTGTCCCTCCATGCTTTCTTCTTCTTCTTGTGGTTGTTTCGGTAATAATTTTGCTATTGTAGCCCTGAGCTTGGTATAAATTAGCAGCAAAAAAGGACTGATCCCAACCCCGTCGTCCCCGGCATAATTACGACTCCAAATGTGTCTTTTACACCTTTCACTTTCACTTGAGTTCTGCTCTCAAGTCAACATGCTCGAAATTTTAGGAAGACTTTGGAAAGAGAGAAATTTTGTAAAAGAAGCTAAAATGGACAAAATTGTCTTTATTTATTTTTGGATTTCCTAAGAAATCATTTACACTTGTATGTCTTTGATTTGAAAGTTGAAAGGTTTTTCTGTCTTTTTTGAAAAAGTTTTGACTTTTTCCTAGGGTGAAATTTTTTTTTAATGGCTAAAACCTAAATTTACTGAAATTTTTAATGGTCCAATTTACAGGTTAGGTGCTACTGCCATTAAAAAATAAAAAATGTAAACAAAATCAAGAATTTTATATAATTTTCTTAATATTATGTTTTTTTAGAAGTAATTTCATTAAGAATAATACTAGTCTTATCACAATTTTATACCACATGATGTGGCGGTTGATGTGTACATATCACATCATGTAAAATACTAGTTTCTATTTTTCTAATTTTATTTATTAAAATACACTTCATTCATTTAATTGATATGACATATGATATGGACATGTCACATCATGTGGTATAGAAATGTGAGATAATAATGTGGTAAGTGTAGCATTACTCTTCATTAAAATGTAGACAAATTTATTATTTATTATTTATAAGTAGACAAGTTAATATAGTTCCAACTTATGACACAATGGACTTATACATCCTAACCAAAGATTTAAGTCATCGTAATCTAGGTCCAATATTTTTAATGCAAGTTGAGCTTTTGTTTTTTTCAAGGGTTGCTTTTAATTAATTAATTTTTTAATCCTAATGTAAGTTCAAAACATTTAATGCAAGTTGAGTTTCTTAAACTTATCTAAAATTTAACTCAACTTTTTCTCCTAACATATTTTTTTACTGTCAATGAGGTATAACTCAATTGGTTGAGATTTTTCCCGCAATGGCTTGTACAAAAAATTAAATTTTCCTTTTTTTTTCTTTGTCAACAAAGAAAGGAGATTTGGATTTGGGAGCTCTTAAAACGTGAAGAGGAGATATACCAATAAACTTAGAACTAACTATCTTTTTTCCAACTTAAATACAAAGTTTCCCTAATATGAACCGAGTTTGGCTTAAAACTTTCATTTAGATTAAAACACATATAAAGTTCGGTAAAGGCCAAAATTTAAAAAAGTAAAAAATTGGATGGACCATAATTGACTTTTGAGCATGACTAATTTAAGGTGAGTTGCAACATCATACTTGGCAGCAAGTCCGTTATGTATGTATACACTTTTCTGCATACTATGAAGAAAAAGTTGATAATGGGAATTTTACAAAAAGCCACAAAAATGGGAATTTTATACTTAATAATTGGAATTTGACATGAAAAAACAAAACAAACAAAAAAAATTTAAAATAAAGAAAAAAACGTGAGCGGCAGGATTCGAACCTGCGCGGGCAGAGCCCACATGATTTCTAGTCATGCCCGATAACCACTCCGGCACGCTCACTTTTCTGATGGCCAGGGTCTCAATTTTCAATTTTTGTTGAGTGAGCAGATTTAATATGCGCACACAACCCATACGCGCAAGATAGAAAATCTGTGGGGTTCTGAAGTCCAGTGACTGCCTGGGATAGAAAATCTATCGGCTATTGGTTTAGAGCCAAAGTTTTGTTTTTGATTAACTGCCATAACTTAAGCTTTGCATGGATGTCTCATGGTAGGCTAAGCCTATCTTTGGTTCTCTTCTCTAGTCTCCTGCTCGCCGGCTTAAGCAGAGTGTAAGAGAGCAACATCAACCTTCTTTTCAGCTTTGCCTCCATAGCCGAAACAGCGAACCTTAACTTCTGGAAGCACACACAGGTGAGTTTTTTCGATTTTATTATTTTGTTCAGTGCTTTTTGTAATGTAATGTAATCCAATGAATACCGTTTTGCATTTTTGTTGTGTTTTTGGGTGGGAGAATTGTGATGATGCCCATCTGTTGTTCGACGACTTGTTTCAGTTGGCAATGGTGCCTTTTGGGTGAAATAGGAAATGGGTTTTGTGCTTCTGTTTGTATATTGAGAGATTAAATTCGATTATGATGTGCTTTGAAAGTATTATACTGTTTTAATTTAACGGGTGAATGATATGGTTAGGATTTATGCCTGAAAATGTCACCTTATATTCAATTGTAGCTGTTTTAATCAATTTGGATTCAAAATCTATTTCTTTTTTTCCAACTAACCGGTGCATTGCTTAATGCTTTCGTAGACAAGCCCTGCATTATTGGATTAAGAAGATGGCTTGCACAATTTTTAGAAGCCTTCATTCCCACCCTTTTTTATTTCATCCAACTGCATTAATTAGAAGAAAAGATGTCATTTTGTATTGCACAATGAGAAGCGCACAAACCCAGACAGCAACACAAGAAAAGGTCAAGCCACAAGTGAAAGTTTCGCCACATAGTACCCAGAGCAAAGCACTTGAGAAAGCCTCAAAGGACTATGAAGCAGTCATAGGTATCGAAACCCATGTCCAGCTCAACACTCTTACCAAGGCCTTCTGTAGTTGTCCTTATAATTATGGCTCTCCTCCAAACACCAGCGTCTGCCCCATTTGTATGGGTCTGCCTGGAGCTTTACCAGTTTTGAACTTGAAGGTCATTGAGTCTGCAGTGAAAGTGGGACTTGCACTCAATTGCAAATTGTCATTGAACTCAAAGTTTGATAGGAAACAATACTTTTACCCAGACCTTCCGAAGGGATACCAAATATCGCAGTTTGACATTCCAATTGCAACCAGTGGTTACATTGACTTGGATCTTCCGCTAGAGTTTGGTGGTGGGCGTAGGAAGTTTGGAATTACAAGAGTTCACATGGAAGAGGATGCAGGGAAGCTGCTTCATTCAGAAGGTGGAAGTTACTCGCAGGAAAGTACCTTTCTCTTTGTGCTTACCATCAACATTGTTCTACTTCTTATAAGTTATAAAAGAGTGAACTACATTCTGGTTCTCTGTGCCGTTTTATGGTTTCTTCTATTTTGGTTTTACTATTTAAAGGCTCAATCAGATTTAGTATGGTATTATGATTTGTGTGTAAATTCAGTTTTGTAAGTACATTGAATTTACAATGGAGTGGAGTGAGTAAATTTTACTTCTCATAAGTTATAAAAGATTATCAGCGGCTGAGGTTAATTCTATATCACCTTTCTTAGACTCCTAGATACTGTTTGTTTCTGTTCTGCAGGTTGATTTAAATAGGGCAGGGGTGCCCTTGCTTGAGATTGTTTCTGAACCTGATATGAGAAATGGTATTGAAGCTGCAGAATATGCTGCAGAGTTACAGAGGTTGGTTCGGTATCTGGGAGTGAGTAATGGCAATATGCAAGAAGGTTCACTTCGTTGTGATGTTAATATTTCAGTTCGACCAATTGGGCAATTACAGTTTGGGACGAAGGTAAGTAACTTTTATTTACTTACACATTTGTTGTGTTGTTAGCAACTAGAAATCGAGTATAAAGAGAAATTCTTTTAAAACAGAGTAAAGAACAAAGACCTGAGGGGTCATTAAGGAAAGCACTGGATAACTAGATGTGAGTAAAATTGTGAAAATAAAAAAAGAAAACTAAGGATGGCATAAATCTATGATCCTTACATGTGAACTTGTCATTTATTAGTTGTTGGAGTTGTTGATGTTTGTGATGATCATTGCAATATTATGTTTGTTACAACCACTGCAATATCATGTTAAATTAGATTGTTAATTTTCAGACAATGTTATTTTTATCGTTGGCTTTTGGTGGCGTTTTCTCAGAAAGAAAGCATTTTGTACTTGACCAAGATCTCACCTGAATGACATAATTAGATATAGAAACATGTATTCTTGTATTCAAAGAAATGCACTATAAAATTGGTTATATTAAGCCTCTGTATATATTGGAATAAGAAATCCATTTGTAATAGCACATATGCACCCTTTCACCAGTCAACTGTAATGATTGTATCTAGAATACAATTATATATCACTTTTTGAGACTGATTTAATGCTTCCTATATTACATATTGGCAGGTGGAGATAAAAAATTTGAACTCATTTTCATCGGTTAGTAGGGCAATTGATTATGAAATCTCAAGGCAGGTGCTTCTTCATAGTCAAGGCCAGGATAAAGAAATTGTACAGGAAACTCGTCTATGGGAAGAAGGAGCTCAGGTGATTGTACCTTAATCGTCTAGTCAAACAACTGGATATATATGGCTTACATGGTCCCTTGGTGTCTATTTACATGTTCTGTTTACTTTTTTTATACCAGAAAACAGTTACAATGAGGAAGAAAGAAGGACTTGCCGATTACCGATATTTCCCAGAACCAGACCTTCCAGGAGTTTTCCTCACTACAGACTATGTTGATGGTATTCGTAATTCTTTGCCTGAACTTCCAGAAACGAAGCGTCGGAGGTATGAAAAGATGGGCCTGAGCATGCAGGATGTTCTTTTCCTTGCAAATGACATGAATGTAAGTCCTCTGCCTGTCTTATTGTCCTCTCCCTAAACCTCTGTTTGGGAATTGCTCAATTGTTCTGGAATTTGGAAGAAAAGGAATGAAACATAAGTTGAAATTTATGACTGACTTCAACTGTTTGTAGATTTGACATAGTGGCTAAGAAAATATGGATAAGACAACATTGTCGGATAGTTCCCTATCCCTAGAGATATTTGTTACAGAAATATTCAATGTAAAATAAACTTCCCAAGGTCATGCAACTGAAACTGCATTTCACACAAAGAAATAAAGAATGAAAGGACGAAAGAAAAGTGTGTGTTTGTCTACTTGCAAGACGAATATTGTATATGGCATTCATGGGATGGGCATCTGTCTTTTCAGTGTCACTCAGTCTCTTACTGTGAGATGTAATCCAGAAGTTTTTAATGTCTATAAATGTTTCCTTGAAGTTCTTAGTGTTGATATTCAAGTACAACTAGTTGATGTTTTCCTAGATAGTATAATGTTGAATGACCTGAAAGTGGCTCATTGTTTACTGTCTATCTTAGGTTGCAGAGTTTTTTGATACTACTATTACAAAAGGTGCTGATGTGAAGCTGGCTACCAACTGGATAATGGGCGATATTGCTGCCTATATGAAAAATGAAAAGTTGACCATCAATGAGATTAAGCTTACTCCTCAAGAGTTGGCTGAATTAATAGCTTCCATAAAAGATGGGACCATTAGTGGGAAGATAGGAAAAGAGGTACTTCTTTTTTTTTCTTCTTCTGGACTAGTTTTACAATTTTATTCGTTTCTAAGATCAATAGAATTTGCAGATATTGTTTGAGCTTCTAGCCAAGGGTGGTACTGTGAAGGGACTGATAGAAGCAAAAGATTTAGTTCAGGCAAGTTGTTCAGTTTGTTGCCAGACTCTAATAAGATATAATTATTTTCAAATTTTCAGATGTGTAGATGTGATTCTTTCAAATAGTTTGTCTGTCTGCGCATTTAAACTTTTATGGCAATTATTTCAACAAGATATGCGATGGTCACTAACTTGATCTGATTGACTGTTCCTAAAGTAACATGCTAGATTATTTCCTCTTTTAAAAATTGATGGTTTTGTATCTTATTTGAGATGTCCCAAGATGTATAGTTTGAGACGTCAAGAGAGAACTTTTTATTTCTGAGTATGCCCTATACCTTGTTTGTGTTAAAAGTGAGTGTACAGAATTATTACAATGGTAATAATGGAAATCTAACCTTTTGTTCAAAAAGACAATACAATACTTCCTGCCCCCCTTAAATAGATGATTGACTTTGTTAAATTCTTTACTTAATAAATGTCCAATTAGATAGTAGTTTTGCTAGATGATATTATACAGAGTTTACTTTAGCAGCCAATCAAAATGAAACAACATCATCTTATGATGATAAGAATACAGAATTTACCAATAAATTAAGGGTTCTCTAATTTCTTTGGTTATAACAGATAGTAGATCCTGCTGAGATTGAAAAATGGGTAGAAAAGGTGTTGTCCGAGAATCCCAAGCAGCTGGAACAATATCGTGGCGGAAAAACTAAGCTGCAAGGTTATTTTGCTGGCCAGGTAAAATCTTTCAAACTTTAACTGGTATATATTTTTTATCCCCCCTACGCTCCCTTTTCCGTTCATGATTATGCTATTAATAACATAACGTCTTTTAAACTTCAGTGAAATGGTTTTTCATTTTAACCTCATGCAGGTAATGAAACTATCAAAAGGAAAAGCAAATCCAGGGCTCCTAAACAAGATTCTTTTAGAGAAATTGAACGCCAAAAGCTGATAAAGCTGCAGGTTGGTATCTGCAAACAGTTTGTGTATTTCACTGTCGCACACAACTGCTAATGCTGTTGCGTCTCTTGCGCATTCCCTTATAAAATCTGAAGGAAATATAATATGTAAATATTGTTTGTAACAAGATGACTGGTCACCAATGGCAAACCTCCATTATTCTAGTCAGATGAAATCACTCACAATGGAAGGGTTGTGACTTTTTGTTGCATGAATTAATCTTGCCTACGGTAGAAGCGTCTCTTGAGTTTGATGTCTAGTTTGCCAGCTACTTCTGAACCAATAGTCAGCAGCTGCTTGAGATTTTGCTTGCCCTATCTGAATTATGGAATCAGGGTTTCTGGAGAGCGTAGAAATGATTGGCTTCTAGTTTTATATATCCTGTTGCTGTTTGATTGCGCTACAAGCTAGAAAGTTGGATTGGATGAATAAATATTGACTTGTAAGCTCACCTTCCCACATATAGATTATTTTCCAGAATTCAAGCTCTTGTTTTGGAGTTCATTTTCTCTCTATGGTTATGCTTGGTGGGTAAGCATACCATATTCTGTTAGTCACTGTGCCTATTTTCCAGTAATTTTAATGCTTCAACTATTCATTTATACATTTTGTAATAAGATTCTTGATTGGTGGCATAAGGGTAACTAATTGACAAATTTGCCACTTTCTAGCTAGTTGAGCTTTTTGGCTGAGCTTGCAGGCTAATGCTTTTCATGCTAGGCATCCAATTATTGTGGTCTAAAAAGTCATAGGAAGTTTGGATTTGGATAGGATTGGCAAACAAGAATGAAATTTACATGGTGATGTTGCATAGTTTATTTCTATTTTAGGTATGAATATTATATGTGGCCTTCCATGTGGATTGGATACTATACCAAGTAGTTTCTCAAAGAATGTCTTCATGTAAAAGCATTGGTCTTAATCTGAAAGTTGGTTTACCTTATTGTGTATCCAATTGCTACATTCTATTAAAAAACTTGGGCTTTTCTGACTTAATTTGTAAAATGAGATCAGTTACATAAAAGAAAGAAGTGTTTCACCTTTAGATGGAACAAATCCAACCACTATATGGTACATGAAAATATAACACGATCATATTCTGTCCTCCTATCTGCCTCTCATCATGGATTAGGAACAATCCAAAAGGGTGGTGGATCAATTTTCCACTTATCAAGCTGATCAAATGGCTTCACAACTTTATTTCCTATGTTGTAAACTCCATTATCATGACCACCATAACCATCCTCAGCAGAGTCTAATTGGAAATTTATATTCCTCCAACGATCATCTGTGAAGTAAATTGAGTTTCTTCCAATTCTGGAAAATCCCTAGGGGACACTGACAACGATTGATTTCCGCCCAAAAACAAAGCTCAATTGCGCAGGGATGATTCTACTTTTTCCCACCTTTTGGCAGTGATGTTCAACTTTAGGAAGTAAAACCGCAGAGTTCTATAGGGACAAATAACAGCAAACCCCTCAGGAAGATTCCCCTGACCAATGACTATGCCCTCATGATTAACAAAGTTCCCTATCACTCTCTCCACATACCAAATCTCACCCAATGACTCCACCAGATAATTCTGAGTAGAATACTTGTAAATGGAAAAGTCTTGCATTATATCCGCCTTTTCAATCTCTGCAGACGGTTGAGGAAGATCAATGGTTTTGATGGGAAAGGACTTGTTGAAGTCCCAGACTTCAACCGAGCCATCCCCAGCCAATGCAAACAACTGCTCATTTTGAAAAATAACATCACAATATTCTCTATGCACACCATTTAAGTCTGCCCATCTGATTCTGCTGTCCTCCTCCCCATGCTTATAAAATGCAAGTTTTGACGGTAAAAAACCATAAATCACCACAACAGCGAAGTTGTTGTCATGAGTCGGGTCGTAGGGGAGGACAGCCTTGGCAATATGCAACCGCATCAGGGGGAGCTGAATTTTACGTGGCGAAAATGGGTTTAAAAGATGCGACTTTGCTTTGTTGTTAATGACCAGCCACCCGTGTGATAAACCCGCGCACCAAGCAGCAGAATGATCAAAGTCTTGAAACGAGCTCTTGATGCTGTAAACTTTTTGTTCTTCAAGACTGTAGAAGCAACGAGCTCCACTAGTGGCGGGGTTGTTTTGGTCGTTTTCTTCACTACTACTAGGGAGCATGAGCCATGGAGTACTAGGGGTTCGAGGAGGAGGACATGTTGAAGTGGCACAAGATTTTGCAGCGTGATTCCACGAAGAACAAACGGGCTCTGAATCGAAGGATGTTGACAAAAGAGAGATTGTTCATGATCGGCTGTAAGAGTTCGGGTTGGTGCTCAGACCAGTTTGCCGTCATTGTTTGTTGATCAATGAATTATGAATGCATGTTTTGATGAAGGGTTTTGCTTTTGTACAGAGTGAAGGCAAGCAGAGTTTGTATATGTAATGGACTGAAAAGTGGAGCAATCCAGGTTGAGTTAGGAAAACCAATTAAAGTTGTTTCAGAGTCATATCCTATATATATTTGGACAAACCAAAACACTCGCCATTCATGATTACACTATTAATAACGTTTTTTTGACTTGCAACAACTTTTAGATTTTACCTGCCCCATCTGAACAAGTATGGAATCACGGTTAATTGGGTGTCTGGGGGTTTTGAACCTTTGCTCATTGAATTGAGATGGAAGAGAACCAACTGATCTATACCTACGCACTGGCATAGTTTGTTTCTATAATTAAGTATATGAATCATGTGGTTTGATTGTCTAAAAGCATATCTTCATGTAAAATAATTGGTCTTAATATTCACTTGAAAATGGGCTCACCTTATTGTGTATCCAATTGTGCTACATTCGTTTGAACTTTTTCAACGAACTTTCAAATTAAACCGAAAGTGGGTTGAAACCCAAAGATTTCAACCATAAAAGGCAGCTAAAAAAAGCTTGATGTGCATTTAACTATAAACTAGTACATGAAAACATCATATGCTCATACATACGTGAAAACTATCTACTTTTCACCATGGATTAGGAACAATCCAAAAGGGTGGTGGATCAACTCTCCACTTATTAAACTGATCAAGTACTAGTGTCTTCACAATTTTATTTCCTAGGTTGTAAACTCCAACATCATGACCACCATAATCTTCCACATAATTTATCTCCTCCCAACTATCATCTGTGAAGTAAATTGAGTTTTCTTCTAATTCTGGAAAATCCCGAGTGGATACTGACATCGATTGATTTCCACCCAAAAATAAAGCTCGATTGCGCAACGATGATTCTACTTTCTCCCACCTTTTGGCAGTTATGTTCAATTTGAGAATGTAAAAGTGCAGAGTTCTATAGGGACATATATAATCACTCTTCCGAGGAAGATCCCCCTCAGCAATGTCCTCATGCTTAACAAATTTCTCAATGATTCTCCCCACAAACAAAATCTCACCCAAAGACTCCACCAAATAAGTCTGAGTAGAATGTATGCCCCTTGAAAAGTCTTTCACTATATCCACGTTTCCAATTTCTGCAAATGGTTGACGAAGGTCGATGGTTTTGATGGGAAAGGAGTTGTTGAAGTCCCAGACTTCAACCGAGCCATCCCCAGCCAATGCAAACAGCCGCTCATTGTGAAAAATAATATCACAATATTCTCTACCCACATTTAAGACTGTCCATCTGCTGTCCTCCTCCCCATGCTTACAAAATGAAAGTTTTGACGGTAAAAAATCATAAATCACCACCACAGCGAAGTTGTTGTCCCGAGACGGGTCGGAGGAGAGGACAGCCTTGGCAATACTAACACACATCCGTAAACTTTCCAAGGAGAGATCACCGGTCAAGCGAGGAAAGGGCCAAATCAAGGGGAGCTGAATTTGACGTCGCGAAAACGGGTTTAAAAGATGTGGGTTTCCATTGCTGTCCATAATGACCAGCCACCCATGTGATGAACCCACGCACCGAGCCTCATGATCAAAGCCTTGAAACGCGTTCTTGATGGTGTAAACTTTTTGTTCTTCAAGACTGTAGAAGCAACGAGCTGCACTGTCAGGGTTGTTTTGATCGTTTTCTCGACTGCTACTACTAGGGAGCATGAGCCATGGAGATGGAGTATGAGACGAAGTGGCAGCGTGTTTCCACGAAGAACAAACGGCTTTGAATTGAAGGACGTTGACGAAAGAGAGATTGTTCGTGATCAGCCGTAAGAGTTCGGGCTGGAGCTCAGACCAGTTTGGTGATCTTCCTTTCTTTTTGTGGCGACGGTGGTATACTTTCAGTTTTGCCATCGTTGTGTGTTGATCAAAGAATTATGAATGAATGTTTCGATGATGGAGAGAGAAGGGTTTTGCTTTGTAGAGAGTGAAGGCAAGCAGAGTTAGTATATATAATGGACTTCGAAAGTTGAGCAATCCGGGTTGAGTTAGGAAAACTAATCAAGATTGTTTCAGTCAGATATCCTATATAAATTAGGACAAACCAAAGCACTCTCCATTCGTGTAGTAAATTTATTTATTTATTTAATTTTTTTAAAGTTGAGATTCTGAAAAATCTTGAGTGCTTAATTGACTAGAGTTATCGCTAGTAGAGTATAGTTTAGTCGGTTGAGTTCTTCCACCTCCACTCATGTGGATTGAGGTTTGAAAACCCTAGACACACCCAATGAATATTTTTGTAAACTCAATTAGTCTTAATAGATTCAAGTGAAAGTAAACTATAGTCTTTTTAGTAGTTTAATGTGAATATTTGTAAGGTTTTAAAAACAAAAAGGTAAAAAACGTGAGCGGCAGGATTCGAACCTGCGCGGGCAGAGCCCACATGATTTCTAGTCATGCCCGATAACCACTCCGGCACGCCCACTTTGACGACCCTAAAGCTCGTTATTTTCTCCCTAATAACATTAATTAGAGTCCACCACAGCTCTGCGTGGATGATGATGTAGTAAAGCAGGTTCTTTCTACTCTTCATTATCAAAAGTTTAACTTAGAATTATTCATTGGTCACACTCATATGAATATTCTTCTTACAACAAGGTATAAAATTAAGGGCTCATTTGATAACCATTTCAATTTTAGTTTTTTTAGTTTTTTAGTTTTTTTTTTTTTTTTTTGCTATAATATATAGGAAAATGAGAGGGAGAATGAAAGTGAGGGTGAGATTGAGAGAGAGGATGAGAGAGAGGATGAGAGAGGAGGATGGGAGGGATGAATAACAAAAGTGAAGACAAAAACTTGAAAGTGAAAACAATTTCAAATAGATTTTAGGTTTTAAATTTTGTTTTCACTTTTGTTACTCATCCCTCCCATTTCACTTTCCATTCTCCTTCTTTTCCCTCTATATTATAACACAAAAAATAAAAAATAAAAACTAAAATTGAAATGGTTATCATTATCAAATGGGCCATGAGGTTCTTTTTTCCCTTTTCTTAGTTATAAATAACAATCCAGAAGGAAAATGGGGGAAAATGTTAGAAAAGAAATGTAAAGGTGAAGGAGAGAGAGGAGGTAAGATATGTAGAATGAACAGACTATAAAATCTAAATTAAAAAAAAAAGGTACATATTATATTTAAATTTTATGCATTCTGTTTTTTCTTTTACCTTCCTATTTCTTCTCCCCATTTGTGTTAATTGAAGAAATAAAAGAATAATATATATATATTATATATATATATATATATAAACGGGCCATAAATATATTTTTTCCCTTCATTTTTTAGGCGGTTTGGTGGTGGTTGTTTGAGTTAGTAGTGACAGATGTTTGAAGGCTTTTTTTAATAAGTGAAAGATATTTCAAGTTTTCTTTTTTAGTAAGTGACATATATTCCAAGTTGTAACACTAAACAATGGATTTGTTCAACTTGATTATGAAAAAAAATCGTTTTTTCAGTTGTTAATTAAATCTAAATGTCTGCCAAGAACAGTAAAAGAACAACGAGGATTATCAAATGTATATGATTCTGTTTGAAACAAAATAAGGAAGGAAGGAAGGAAGAAGAAAAGGTTGTGAGTTAGACTTTTAGCTGAAATCATAACTTGAAACTGTTTCCCTCAAACATCTTTGCTGGCAACTGACCTGGTCCCGGGTATGGTTCTAACAGCCTCCCCTAATAAGAAGCATAAACAAGAAACTTCCTACCCTTAATTGCAAAACCCTAAGGGGTTTGCTGGTCGTTGGGGTTGATGGTGGTGGCGATAGCGGTGGGCCATGGAAGGTGGATGTAGACGGAGAGTAATGGTGGTAGCAGATCCAACCCAAGAGTCAGCAGGTGCCCTACAATATGCACTTTCTAAAGCAATTCTTGAGAACGACGAGTTGATCCTCTTCAATGTCGAAAACCCTAACTCGTGGCGAAACACACTAACAACGTTCCTTAGAAGACCTAGCCGCAGTTCAGGCTCAGCCGCCGCGTCCATAGAAGGCAGCTTAGGGCACGCCGACTTTCTTGAAGAAATGAAGAAAGCATGCAAACTTACAAAACCAAAAGTACGCGTGCGGGTAGAGAAGGTGGCGTTGATAGAAGGCAAAGAGAAAGCAAGCATTATTCTAGATCATAGCAAGGCTCTCGGGGTCGATGTCCTAATTATAGGGCAACGACGGAGTCTTTCTACTATAATCTTAGGGTGAGTTTGAAGTGCCATCGGAATTTTTTGTTTTAGGTTCAAATAGTGTTGAGCATTACCATCACGTGAATTGTCTTTGGAAGAATGTGAGTTAATTTACATGCTACATGAATCTCAACAATTAAACGCATTCAAAGGCTACTAATATGGTGGTAATGCTCACCACCAATTAAGCAAAGATGTTCTTGATAATGTTACTGGGATTTATTCTGGGAAAACAGATTTCAGCTTGAATGATTTGCTTATTCTTTCTTGTATTGTGTACTCTGACAGATACAGGAGGCCTGGGGGGGTCCACGCGAGGGACAAAACCAATAGACACAGCAGAGTATTTGATTGATAAAAGCAGCTGCACATGTGTTGGAGTTCAGAAAAAGGGCCAAAATGGAGGCTACCTTCTCAACACAAAGACCCACAAGAACTTCTGGCTTCTGGCGTAGATTCTTCTTTTGCCGTCAGTCTGCTGCATTGGGTTAACATTAAACATGTTTTCTTTTTGTTGGGAAGGCAGAAACAGATCAAATCAACAAATTTAGTTCGCCGAATCGGTTGACTGCTAGATAT